AAAATGACAAGCTGCTTTTTTTTAAGAGATTGAAGAGAGAAAAGAAGATGCTGGTGAGGGAACAACTGTTTATCGCAGCAAAAAAAAAAAAAAAAAAAAAAAAAAAAAAAAAAAAAAAAAAAAAAAAAAAAAAAAAAAAAAAAAAAAAAAAAAGCAGCAACCCAAAATACACGGCATGTTTGTTTCACTTCCTGCAGTCAACTCGATTCAGATTTGAATAGCTTTCTCACTGGAGTTCACTTGCAAGCGGGCCGAGACCACCTCGCTCAAACGCTCTCGGACCTGAGACTGCTGCGTTCTTGCCTGCCTAAAGAAATGCACCGGGGGGAAAACACACCAGGATTCGGTTTAAACAGACTAGAATCTTTTCAAACCCTTTTTATTATTGTAAGAGTTTACAACTCCCTTTTTTTCTACATTTGTCAGGTCTCAGGTGCACTTTATATTTGACATTATTTGTGATTTTTTTCCTGGAGTTGGTCGATGTTGGTTAATAACTGCTATAGTATTGTGATAAATGTCTCTATAATGCAATGCAGATCATCAGTGTAGTGTTTCCTGTTGATGATTGTGTTACTGATGATGAAAAACATTCATATGCAGGAATTATGATGGATTTTAGTGCAACTTATTGTTTGTTGTGCAACTCAGATTCTATACAGTTAAAATTTCATCATATATTTTAACGTTAGTCTTTTTTGTCAGTTTACATAGTGCAAATGGTTACAGAAATTCTCAAGTCCAGAGTCCCGAGACCCATATGTTCAAGCATAATTGGCGCACTGCTACAGTATGCACTTGAAGTTTTATGTTCAGTTTATGCATTTGTGCTGGTACTCGGTAAATTAAATGCCTTTTTATGTCAAAGCAATAAAAAAAAATCAAGTGCATTCATGGATTACTGTTGTGCTGTGTAAAACATTTTGGGGAAAAAAAAAGATTTTGAAATTGAAAAAATGCTGAATAACAAATTGAAAGAGGTGTAAAAACAAACAGGGGATGGAAATCGTGTAGGTCCAAATGTATTATTATGAAAAATGACACTGTGGAAATAACACCATGATCATAAATAACTCAGTGGAATCTTGTTACATTTCCAGTATGGGGAAGTTAATGCTCAGTCTGTTAAAAATCTTGTTATCATCTGCCATGAGCCTGCATCGCTTTGCTCTGGAGTGTAATACCAATTTCAATTCAACATTTTTGCTGACTCGAATTTTATCTGACTGGAAAGAAGACAGAATTTTGGGACGATGGTGCTTCTTTTTAGTGGCTTTCTGTAACTCAGAGCAGAACTCCTGCTGATCATGAAAAATGGCAATGAAGACCATTAATAACTCAGTGGCTTATAGATATAGGTTACAGTGTCAGGGATTTTAATGATCAATCCTCTTGATGATGTCGTAAAACTAGAGGTCACGTTACAGCTTTACGTCTGACTGTTACAAAACACTGACACTGGAGACTCCTTCCATAAATATTAAACAAACATGTCCTTACAGAGAATGTCCCCATATCAATGATTACACACATTTTAATATGTTTATGTAGAGCGTCCATTGTACAAGTCCCTGTGAATGAGCTGTGATTATAGAAAATAGTGATATAATAATAATAATAATAATAATAATAATAATAATAATAATAATAAATTCCTACATCCAGCTAATGAGATACACTAGACTAGATCAGAACACAATAAAACATTATAAGCATTAGAGCTACACAAACATTTTGAGCTCTCTCAGTTCCATCCTTATCCTCGTTTATCCGAAGCATGACGTCACCCTTGTAAACAAAACCGAGTGTTTGCTTTGTGTATGATGTTTATTGCTTTTTAATACTGAGAATGCGCATTAAAAATACATGGCACCTTTCCTATATAAACATGCACGCCTAATGACAGCAGCGCGGGTCTGTATCCCGTCACAATAGCACATGAAACCGCTTTCAAAGCAAACAAACTGAGCAGCAGGATGGATTTAATTACCGCAAATATGAAGAAGGGAGCGCAGCGGTGAATAAATAAACACAATGTTTCTGATAGGAAGAAAGAGAGCGGTACATACAGCAGGAAGATTAATGATGTTTCAAATGTGCTGTGTATCTCCAAAACAATATAATCAGAAACACACACACACACACACACACACAATAAGAGTGTGTATGAAGCTGAGGTTGCATTTCCTTCTGTATTCTCATTTAGTCCTCAGATCTTACGTTGTTACTCTATATATAGCTGAAAAAAGTAAGTGTTGTGTTTACATTTTGAACAAAGGTGAGGCTAAATCTGGTCAAATGAATTGAATCAGTTGAAAGGATGCTCGTCTATCTCCACCGTCCCAGACATTACGGTGATTAAGCATTTGGCATCTGAAGTGTAGACTTTCAAGTACTGTACTTGAGTACTCTAAAAAGAGAGTACTCGTAAATGCAGAATTTACATACCGATATAATATCCACGTTACTACAAAAAAATTACATTCGTAAATGTGCATATTTCTGTTTAATGAGTGTATCGTAAAACCTGCCATTCTTTACCAGTTCCTTTTTGCTGAGCCTACATTAAACTTTAGGAAAGAAATAACAATTTTAATTTTTTTTACTTTTCTTTTATTATTTTAACTTTTTCACTTTTTATGTGCATTAATTTTTATTATTTTTAAATTTATTTATGGTTTTCTTTCCTTCTCCTTCTCAATTTTTGGATATAAAATAGAGTTACATAGAAATTAAGAAAATCTTTTTTTTTGCCTTTACATGAATAAAGTGGATTATTTACTCTATCATTTTTTTTCTTTGTTTTTTTTTTTAATTCCTTTGGAGGAGAAGCTGAAAGTATATTGTCTGAAAACACACTGTCCAATAGAAAATACAAAATATGTCAAAAGACAGACAACAGAAATGTAGTGTAGAAGTTTACTGTTTTTTGGTTTAAACACAAGGTTATGCAGATCAATTATAGTATATAGCATATAAAAATGACTGTACAGTGTGTCTGTTATTGACCATATGTTACAGAATATACAGTATATTGTTCTTTTCTTTGTCATTATGAGGTTATGTGCCTTTAATTTTCTACCTTTCTCCAGAACAAATGCTGAAGTTCTGCTTTAATTCTCTTTACAGCTCACTGGGCAGACATTCGGCAGGGCCATCTGCTTCAGGCTCTCGCTTTGTCTTCTCAAGGGTAAACACGTTTGCTGCGGAAGAAGGAGTGGAGCGAGGGAATAAAGGAGAGAAAACTGAGAGACAGAAACAGAGAGAGAGTGCAGATAGATAAGGCACAGCACTTTATGGACAGTTTATTCAGCAGTTTATCTCCATACACATAGTTAATAATTCAGTGAGTGGTTATCCTGTATTTACAGTGTGTGTGTGTGTGTGTGTGTGTGTGTGTGTGTGTGTGTATGTGCAAGACAGAGATAGTAGAATATCTGAACAGGGGTAGAGGGGTAGAGGACAACTGTCAAAAAACCCTCCTGCAATTGAACAAACCTGCACCAAGAAACAAAAAATCCTCCACACAAAAACACAAAAATCTCAAAATGTGTCCAAGTGAAATTCTGCTGTTGGTACTGAACAATTAACCTAATCAGCAATGTTGTGTAACATTTGTAAATAATTGTTTTATTGCTTCCTGGTTTTGTCTTGACACAGCTCCGCCCTGACCACACCCACAATTATTGGTAGCATTGTTTTCCTGTTTGTTTTTGCGCAGTGGTCTGGGAAAAAAGTTCACATGGTTCAATTTTGACATTTTCTACTGAATCTCATGTTGAAGTAAAGAGCTAGCATTTTAAAGTTAGCTTATCTGCAAAAGTGAAAAAGGATACAATCGCATTTAAGGATTTCATTCCAACTATGATGCATCACCATTTTAACAGACAGAAACTAATGATTTACTATCTGATTACAAACTGAATTAATAAGGCTTATCTCAGTTTCATTACGGCACTTCGACATACAACAGCTTGACCAAAGTGTGACGCTTACTGTGTGAGGAAATCATACTTAGCTGTCTCCGCCCCTGTATTGTTATTGGATGTTTCCCCTCACGTGTCATGTTCAATCTCACCTGTTCCCCATTTGCCCTTGATTAGTTTGTATACTTATACCGCACCCCCGGTATGCCCCGGTCCCCTTTGACGGCTCTGAAGACCTTTTTAAATGATTCCTGCTGCAGAGCAAATTATATTTTGCAAGCCTTTTAAACCCCAAGCCCAAAGAGAAACAGTGGCTCATATTCTTGCTGTCCGGCGGGGCCTGGTGGTGGGTGGAGCTTCTGGTCGCCACAAGAACCATGGGCCTAGGAAGCGTGGCTGAGTTCATTTGTTTAATGAGGGTGATTTATGAGAAGGGGGACTTTTGCTTTGAACTTGAAAGTTTTTTGGGGAGGGCCAGCCTGTCACCAGCTACTATGAAGAGGCCAAAATGGCAGCCTCCCCTGTAGAGCTCCAGCCAGAGGCCAACATGGAGGCCTCACCTTCAGAGCTCCAGCCTGAGACCAGCGAGGTGGTCTCCTCTTCAGAGGTCCAGCCAGAGGCCAACATGACCGCCTGACCTCCAGAGCTCCAGCCTGAGACCAATCAGGTGGTCTCCCCTGCCGCGCTCCAGCCAGAGGCCAATGTGACGGCCCCACTTCCAGAGCTCCAGCCTGAGACCAGCGAGGTGGTTTCAGCTGCAGAGCTCCTGCCAGAGGCCGATGGCATGACCTCCCAAGTTCTGTTCATGCCAGAGGCCGACGGCATGGCCTCCCACGACCTGCTAATGCCTGAGAAGGACAAGGCAGCCACCCAAACCCTTGTTCCAGCACGAGGCCGACTAGATGGCCTCCCATGACCTGTCAAGCCTGAGACTGACGAGATGGCCTCTCAAGTTCTGCTTAAGCTGCCCATAGTGCAACAGCTTGTGCTTCCGGGTTGACGGGACATTTACTTTTGGTTTGTTTACTTTTACATGTGTGTTTTGTTTTGGCTTCTAGTCCTCCATAGACCCCCCCCCAGGAGGACTAGTGGTTAGGCCACAGGACTCTCACCACTGCGGCCGGGTTCGATTCATTGCCAGGGAACTGACCCCAGCCATGGGGTTGCATGCAATATTGCGCTCTCTGTGCCCCGATAAAGCCTGGATAAAATTGGGAAGGGTTGCGTCAGGAAGGGCATCCAGTGTAAAAACTGTGCCAAAAAACAAATACGCAGACCAATGATCCACGGTGGCGACCCCTAACGGGAGCAGCCAAAAGAGGAACAACAACAACTTATACCCCCCCACCCCCGTGTGTGTTTGTGCTTCATGCAGTGTTGTTTAGTTTTTCGCCACCTGACTTTACCTAGCCATTTTGTTCTGTGCGTTCGCTCCGGTTTTTGACTTCTTGCCTATTTCTTGATTCCTGTGTTTGTTTTGCCTAGTTATTCCTGTTTGCTGATTGCCTGACCATGTGTCTGTTTTTCACTACGTGTTTGCTCTTCGTTTTTGGATTTGTCAGAGACATCTGATGGGTTTTCACAGAACACTACATGCATACTTAGAGATCTGTAATGTGTGCCAGAGCTAGGCAGGGAGCAAGTGCGTAAACTCAGCGGTAGATTTATCTAGGGCAAACTGGTAATCATAATCAGAGATCTAAGTGGGAGTCAAAATGCATGGCAGACAGGCTCAACACAGGGCAATCCATAATCATAATTAAAATGAGGTCAGACCCAGGAAGCACACGGAAGCAAGGCTTGGACTAAAGGTAACTAAAACATGATAAGACTTCACAAAGTTTCACAGACATAACAGGGTATAAATATACTGTATAAGTGTTCCCTCTAGACATACACTATATGGCCAAAAGTATGTGGGAACTTGGCCATCACACCATTATGTGATTCTTCCCCAAACTGTTGCCACAAAGTTGGAAGCACACAATTGTATAGAATGTCTTTGTATGCTGTAGTATTACAATTTCCCTTCACTGGAACTAAGAGGCCCAAACCTGTTGCAGCATGACAATGCCCCTGTGCACAAAGCGAGCTCCATGAAGACATGGTGTGTTAAGGTTGGAGTGGAAGAACTTGAGTGTCCTGCACAGAGCCCTGACCTCAACCCCACTGAACACCTTTGGGATGAACTGGAACACCGACTGCACCCCAGACCTCCTCAACATCCCAACATCAGTGCCTGACCTCACTAATGCTCTTGTAGCTGAATGATCACAAATCCCCACAGCCATGCTCCAAAATCTAGTGGAAAGCCTTCCCAGAAGAGTGGAGCTTATTATAACAGCAAAGAGGGAACAAATCTGGAATGAGATGTTCAACAAGCACATATGATGGTGTGATGGTCAGATGTGCACAAACTTTTGGCCATAAGTGTACAATGAACTATACCTATTTCAGGGACTTTTATATACATGATCATTAAACACATTTTTTTAAATTATTTTTTGCGGGTAAAGTCAGAGCTGTACCAATATATTGTGTATTATATTACCATCTATGGGTCCCTGGAGGACTAGCGGTTAGGCCACAGCGCTCTCACTGCTGCGGCCCGGGTCCAATTCCAGGCCATTGAACCAACCCCAGCCTGCAACAGGACGGTCTCATCGCCGGTCCAAAGCCCAGATAAAATTGGGGAGGGATGTGTCAGGAAATGCATCTGCCGTAAAAAAAAAAAAATAAAAAATGTGCCAAATCAAATACACAGACCAATGATCCGCTGTGGCGACCCCTAAAGGGAGCAGCTGAAAGAGGAACAACAACATATTACCATCTATACTCTATTATATCTATACAGTACTATCTACAATGTTCATATTACTCTGTGACCTGTACATTATTTTACAGTTCCTCATTTCTGTTAGACTAGTCATGTAATTAAAGCAATCTTGGCAAAATCTTGGCAAAATCTTGGCAAATTTTTAGCTAAATTTAGTCATTATTGAATGAAATAATGGATCTTGGCTGATTAATTAAACTTTATCAAATGTACATCCTCATCTACCAGGTCAACACAGCAAGCCAACACTGCTAGCTAATATCTGAGATAACTGGTAAAACACCATTCTTCCCACCAAGAGAGCATGGACAAATTTTACTCTCTTGGATTTCCCGTCCACGGATGGCTGTAGCATTGTCGAGATTCAAACTCATGATATTCCTATGATAGGGAACAGTTACTATAACAAGAGTTAATAAGTGAAAGACATCAGGAGGTAACAAATTACTATTTGACTCTATAATATTGAAGATTATACAGTAATTAATGTATATAATTTATGTCACATTTATTAGACTATTACATTAGTATGCTGGCTAAGATAATTAATTAAAAATTGTTTTGTATTTTTTTTCCATGAATGTACTTGCTATTCCAATGTTCTTGTTGCACGTTAATTAGCAATTCATCAGATTAATAATTTGTTATCACTTAAGAGTAGTACAGCATTAACAGTTATATATAACTTGAATTACAATGTACTAAAACTCCTAAATAATACTTTAATACAGTGTCTGGAAAAAATACTTATTTTTGATTCTCTCATGCACTAGCATCTTTAAGACACTGGCAATCTTCTGTTGTGCCTCATGTATCTATCACATCTCATTGCCTCTAATTGGTCTTTCAGGTGAAATAATGGATAAAATAGAGCAATCTTGAGTGCATGTACTTGGGAACAGTGAAATAAAGAGAGAAAATAATAAGCTAATTTAAAAGACAGGGCCAGAGATCTTCTCTTTAATGACTCTGCACAAAGACATTAAGTTTCCAAAGTCTTTCTTTTTTTCCTCCGGAATGCAGTGACCAATGATGTAAGACAAGATGGAAAATCTCAGCTTTTCTGAGGCTGACCCTGAAAAATGGCCTTGTCTAAATGTGCAAGTGAAAATGTTTTTAATGGAAATAATTCTCACTGCTCATGTGGTCGCAGGATAATGTATCTTGTGTAAGAATCAAAAGAAATGCTTCACTGATTTATATACATATATATTAATACATTGGTGTTAAAAATCAACCATAAGAAATGGCCAATTTTCAAATATTCATTATAAAATATCCTTTTCATCCTTAACTCCTAGCAATCAGATCTTATCATGATTGAGCCTGACTCTCAGTGTTCTGTCAGTCAGAAGATATTTACATTTACGGCATTTAGCAGACATCCTTATCCAGAGCGACTTACAGAAGTCTTCATCAAGAACAGAGGGGACCATCAAGCAAAAAAAAAACCCTGTTGGAGGAGGTTAGTACAGAATGAACATAAAACACACAAGGAATTTTTTTAGAGATTAATTGAATGCTAATTCAAGTGTTTGGTAAAGTCGTAGCTCTTCGTCTTTGTTTCAAGTCAGTGTCTCAGCTGTTCAGACAGTCAGGGGGAGTTTGCGCCACCACCTGAGTGCCAGTCAAAGACAAGTCTTCATTCATGTCTTCCTTTTACCTTGAGGGAAGGTGGGCCCAGTTGATCTGTGCTAGAAGCTTATAAGGTGGGTGGGTGCTGGTCCATTTTTGGCTTTAGAGGCAACCAACAAATCTGATGTGGGCAGCTACAGGAAGTCATGAGAGAGAGTATAGCGGGAGTATAGCTATGAGAGCTTGGAGAGGTTGAAAAGTACTACTTTCTGGATGATTTGCAGACCTGCCAGGAGTGAGTTACAGTATTCCGGTTTTGAGATGACCAAAAGGGACTGAACAAGCACCTGAGTGGCCTCCGTGTATAGAAATAGCCGGATCCTCCGGATGTTGTAAAGGAGAAACCTGCAAGACAGAGTCAGGCTAGTGATGTGAGGAGAGACTGACAGTTGGTTGTCCATAGTTACGCTGAAGTTGTGTGAAGTGTCAGATAATGTGATCTGAGTGTTGTCCAGGAAGATCACAAGATCTTGACATGGGGATGCATCTCAGGGGATATACAGAAGCTCAGCCTTGCTGGGATTTAGCTTCAGCTGATGAGCTGCCATCCATGACAATATGTCTGCTAGACATGCTGCGATCCATGCAGAAACATGAGCATGTGAGGGAGGAAAGGAGACTTGAGTGTCATCAGCATAGCAGTGGGATGAAAACCCATGTGAGGATATTTCTGATAAATAAGAGTCTGATTAGATTTTTGTGTGGATGATAGAAAAAACACCCAGAGTTGACCCTGGGATGGACCCTGACCAGGATAAAGCGCTTACTGAGGCTTAATGAATGAATACATTTGATTTGGATATCATGGAACATACATGCAAAAAGGTTTTGCCAAGGTTTGAGTGAATCAGCATGAAACCAGAATATATCTTCGATTGATTAAACCATTGCATACAAACACAACCGGTGCCTGTGTCAAAAGTCAAGTGTTGTCAAATGTGTAAGTCCAAAACTTCCATCAGTATTTACACTGGGAAAGTTATGTGTATTCAGAGTCAGGTTCCGCAGCTGCTTAAGTCAATTTTCTCAGCAGTCCATTCAGATTCAGTTAAAAACACCTGTGTGTAGGTCACATCTCAGAGGTTGCCAGATTTTTCTTGAGTATAAGCAACTGAGACATGGTTTTGCAGTAGCGTCTAGACCACCATCTTTAAAAGCAAACACTATCCTTTAAGCTTGAAAAAAAAAACATTCAGCAGCTTATAAAATAGCCCTTGATCCAGTGTATCCTATTATTTTTCAGTTTAATTTGTTATATTGTGTTCTAACAGTTACTCATGCACACAACTTAATGAAGCCATGAGATACTAAATCGAGATCATGACATTTTAATTTACTGTACTGATTGGTTCAATTAATAAAATAATGCCAATATTTTTGTTAATTCTATGCGCTCTCATGTAAAGAAAATGTGCCACTGGTTTGAAGGTTAAGCTGACCAAGCACTCAATCTGACATTGCTTACAACTCACTTTAAATTAAATCATAATTTTATCCATTTAAAAAAATCATTTCTCAAGATAAGCAATGTCTCTGATTAAGATGTGATGTCCTCTGTGATGGAAAAAGCCTTTTCATAGACTTTAAAGAGACAGGGACAATATTATTAATTGATTAATAATGTCATATTTATGTATACAATATTAGCCTCCAATGGAATTCCATAAATATTTT